TGTGGACTTCAGCTGGTTCTGTACCAACTCGTTTCACTGCCCACGTACCATCAATCAGTACCGACGGCAACGGTGTGCATCTGCGAGCCGCCGACATAAACGTAATTTTTTTGCACAATTTTGTCCGTAGATATTTGAAATGGGCCTTAAAAAGTAAATATCAAAACTCGGCTTAGTTCAGCTGGCTTCGGTATGGCCAGATTGGAACTTGCGATGACCGGAGGGGAAGGGGGGAGGGGGAAGTAGGGGACTGAAGGTGTGAAGAGGAAGACGAGGCGCGGGCACGGTGTCATGGTTTCGGCTTCAGTGTTCGTAACAGAGGACGCTCCCTCTCCTGCCCATCATCAATCAAGGTTCTTCCAGTCGTTATCTCCCCCTCCCTCTTCCCCCCTTTTTTCCCTTGCCCCCTCTCCTCCTCCTACGAATTCGAGGCTCAGACCATCCCCTCACCCCCTTTCTCGCCTATCCTTCCCTCTCCTCTTCTCCCTTCGCCGTCGCCTGTCTACCGTTATCCTCCAGTTACAGCACTGGACTTTCAGGACCGGTCAATCATCGCAAATCGATTCCGGAAGCTGTCTGAGTCGAGTTTTAGCAACCACCGAGTTTTCAAAATCCTTCGTGCGCATTCACTAAAATTCGGCTGGACTGGGAGGTGAGTTATGATGGTTGGGATATACCCTGTTTGTTGGCAAGGTGGAGCATAGGTAGAAGAGAGATGGTAGGTTTTACGTGCGCTAACAAGTACGGAATGGAAAGGAGCTGAGAGCTTACCGGGAAATAAAAATTGGAAAGATGGCGGGGATTGGAGGGGGGAGCCAGGTTTATATGGTTTATGATGCTCAGCAAGAAACGGTGAGTTAAAGCTGATGGGTTTGTGTGCAACACCAAACTTTCTTTTTGACAAAACTACGAATTTCGCAGCTCGTACCCGGACCGGCAAACGAGTGCATATTATGAGGGAGAGGGGGAGGGGGATCTGGTCCCTTTTATGTCTTTGTGGCTCGGAACGTGGAAGAGATACGTGGGGGAATTGCTTTTCCGGATCTTGGTGGAGAGGGAGGAAGGAGTGGTGCTTCCAAACAGGTGTCCGTCTGGTTGCGCCTTTAAAAACTCGGAGCGGAGTTTCGTCAATATGCGTTTTTGCATTTGCACAAGTGATTGATTGAAAGGTGTTATGTGGGACTAGTAAAATGTACTAGGTCATTGTACAAAATATGTCCTTTTAGCACCCTAAAAGCTACGCTGTAGTGTTTTATCTATTAAAACGAAAAAGGCTATTTTTCGACTTTTATTAGGATTAGAGTGTTCGTATAATGTCCGCCTTAATTTCTCAAGTTTTTAGGGCTGTTTTAGCTTGCGTGATTAGCTGGTGCAGTGATGAATTTTTCGTTTTTACCCTGTAGAATTTCGAGTCATTGATTTCACGCAACTAAATTTTAACGTTCATTTTTGTGCGGGGGGAAACCTCGTTAGATGTTGCCTACTAGGACAAAAAAGGCTGTTTTTGGATTTTTATTAAGACTAGAGGGTTCGTATAATGTTCGCTTTAATTTCTCAAGTTTTTAGGGCTATTTTACCCCGTCCAAGCAGGTGCTAATAAGCTCAGATCCAGCCCCCGGGTAAGCGTGGCACCTGCGTACGGACCCCCCAAAATTTTTCCCGCGCACATTCATAACTCGGGGTTCTGAGGTGCTAGAAAGCTGAAATTTTAGGGGAATGTTCCCCGTCCAAGCTTTGTGCGATTAACTATTACAAGGATGGATTTCTTGTTTTTACCCTGTAGAATTCGAGCCATTGATTTCATACAGCTAAATTTTAACGTTCATTTTTGTGCCCTGGAAACCTCGCTAGAAATTTCATATAAAGTATTTTCCCACTTTTCATTCCCCGTTGCATGCCCGTTATCCATCGAGGCCAGCCCAAGTGCATACATATTGAAGTTGTGCCCGTTGTGTAGGATTGCGTTTTAAATAAGGCGGCTAATTTTAATTTTTTGCTAATCGAAGCAGTAACTGTGTATTGCATATTTGCAGGTGCTCACTTTGAAGCAATTCTGGAAGTTTTTTCGTTTCCTTTGCACGTGCTATTCGCAGTAACAGCATGGGACGTCGGTCGATGAAGAGCGCCGCACCAACTTGTAAGCTCTTGGCTAAAACTACTCTTAACTTACAATTGTGATTTTAATTTTAGATGGTGTGTATTTATGTAAAAAGTAAAGGTTTAAAAGGAAGGGAATAAAAGGAAGGTGAGCTTGTAAGCTAAGCAAGAGCTATTGACCGAAATTATTGTTGATTTATAAGTTTGTAAGCTCTTGATCGTCTCTCTTAACAAGAACTAAATGTGAAGATTATAGCTGGTAATGGGATAAAAATTGAATTATAATCAAAGGCACAGGAAAATTGTGTACAAAAGGAGAAGTGAGGCAGAAGAAGGGGAATGACGAGGGTGAGGGAAAAATGTGATTAAGGGAGGATGTGGGAGAGGGATCAGCGGAGGATAGAGGAAGATATGAGCCAGGGAATTTAGTATTTGGTTCTCTTCATGTTCTATTTGCTGTAAAGGGTGTGTTTGCATGATTGCTTATGGTGTAAGGGTGTATTTGGACATGATGACGGTTAGAGCATTGCAGAAGACGCGTTGTTTTTTGTTAAAGTGGAAGGCAGTACGGGCCGTAAAAGCTCTGTAGGCAAAAAGAAAAGGCTAGTAATGGAGGGGCAGGAACATTGGCCCATCTGTTAAACACCTGGGTTGTGTACTACTTCCGCAGATACAAGTGGCACAACAAATTGGCGAAGTCGCTTAATAAAATCTGAAAGCTGTCCTAAATTATGCCATTTCTATGAGCGATTTATGAATATTGGGAAAAAAAAATCATTGATTTTGTTCAGGTGATTTGAAAACGGGCGATGTGGTGTGGGCACCGTACAGACGCTTTCCTGAATGGCCTGCACTGGTATTTGTTTGTTTTACTTGAAATAAACAAGCAATCTTCTAAATATCATGAAATTCTGAGTTGTCGAGCGTTAGAAATGCAAAATATTGTTTGATCGACTCAGTTTGTTCAAACTCGAAAAAATCGTCTGATCCGTGAAGCGGGGAAGTCTATTTTTGTTACAGCGATTCTTTAACAAAGAGAATGTTCGATTGATTGAGAAGACTGTTTTGCTAATGTATGTGTATATATGCTAAATTTAGGTTCGCTGCGTTTATCCAAAGAAAGTTACGTTCACGTTCTTACCAATAAGCGAGGACCCAAATGCGAAATCATCAGTGTTCAACTGCCCGCCACACAAACTTCGCCTCCTCACCGGCAGCGAACCGGTTTGTTCAGTTGCACCTTTTTGACCTCACGCGATGTGTTAGTTTTAAGATGTTCTGCTACAGGCAGCAAAAACACAAAGAATGATTTACAGTTGCCGGCTGGTGCAAAAAAGGATATGAGAGATGCATACAAAGCAGCACTTGAAATACTGAAAAAGAACGGCCTGCTAAGAGAAGAGCGTCAGCTGTCAGGTACCATTCATCATTTTAACTGTGGAATTTAACAAATTTTTGAACAAAACCATGGCAGCTGCCGAGCGAAAGGCTATTTGAGGTTCACTGGATGTCTTTCGATGGTTTACTATCGATAAAAACGAGAGAAATTAGCAACACAAGAAGATTAATCATTTTTGAAGAAGCAGTAATGCAGTAATTATTTTACTTTGATCGACTGGTATTTGCTGACTTGAGGAGTTGTGGGGAGCTGTGACTAATAGCATCCCTTTTTTCGCTTTCGCTTGCAACGGAAACTCTCAAAAATATATCGATAAAAACAAATAAAATAAATAGCGAAGCGCACCAGGATAGTCGGCGCGATCATGCGTTTTGCGCAGTTCCGTTCAGCGGACGTTTGCTTACTAAAAATATAACTGTTTTACACTTTCGTAAATGGAAAACAGTAGATATTTTGTCTGGTTCCAAAGGTGAAGGACTTCTCACTGAAAATTTCACGTGCCGATGCGTGAAAGTTAAATTTGAAAACATGGGTGGGGAACATCCCTCCAAATTTTAACCTTGTAATTTTTCGATTCCCGAGCTAGCGACTTCCACATCACAGTTCACATATGGTCTTACTTAAGACCTCTACATACCTGGGAGCTATAATGAGGTTGTGAAATACCTGCTGAGACAGAAAATATCGTCCTGAAGTTTCAGTTTCCTAGCTTTTATGGCTCCCGAGATAATTTTCTGCTAAAACTTTCACGGAGACGTACGCGTTACCCAAGTGCACGGGAAAACTGAATTTAAATTTTCTGGATTACACTTGGTCAAGGAGCAAATTTCAGCTCCCTAGACCTCCGCGGTTTCTGAGATAATGATTTTACCCGCTAAAAATTTACGAGGGCGTGCATGTTACCCGCAGGCATGGGAAGGTTGAGTTTAAGTTCTCTGAATCGCACGCGGGTGGAGAACATACTCATAAAAGTTCAGCTTCCCAGCTTCTGTGGTTCCCGAGATAATGATTTTACCCCAAATACTTATATGGGCCGCACGTGTTACTCGCGGGTACAGGAAGGTTGAATTTGGGTTTTTTGGGTCGCACGTAATTAGAGGACATACCCACAAAATTTCAGTTTCCCAGCTTCCGTGGTTCCCGAGATAATGATTTTACTGGCCAAAAATTTTACGAGGCCGTACGTGTTAGTCACGGGTACAGAAAGGTTGAATTTGATTTTTCTGGGTCGTACGTGGTTAGGGGATACACCCATGAAATTTTAGCTTCCTAGCTTCTATGTTTCCCGAGATACTGATTTTACGCGAAAAACTTTTGCGGGGCCGTACGTGTTACCCGTGGGTACGGGAAGGCTGAATTTAAATTTTCCGCGTTACGGTTGGGGGGGGGGTACACTACATTAAGATTTCAGCCGCCTAGCTTTTGTGGTTCCCGAGTTTAAATTGCAGAACAAAATGTGGGACACACAGACAACCCCGTGACAATATGCGTTTTATACTGTTGTTATACAGCGCGAAACGCATAAAAATGAGAAAAATTGATTGAGGGAACGAAATTTGCCTGAAACATCTTGTGGGAAACTGGAAAATATTAATGAATTTTGAAAAAAATCGAATCAATGTGGTACGGAAGCGTTGGAAAACTAGCTCAAGTGTAGAACAAAGATTAGGGGCAATTGCCCGCGACATCCATCGTTTACGAATGATTTTGGTTAGAAACACGAAATCTTGGGTATTTCCTTTGTCGGATGCTGCATTTGCCGTTGTATTATTTGTGCGCAGCTGTATTAAGGCTGAAAAAACCCAGTATTGAGAGGGGGTTTTTTTTTCAGAAGAATTGCCACTTCTGAAAGCGAGCGAAATCAACAAGCAGAGTGTACTGGGCGAATTGTTCGAGAAAACCAAGAAGGGTAGTGACGTGGCGAGTAACGGCGACACAGCAAGCAGCGGAGGCGCATCTCACGTCTGGAACGTTGGTGAGGTTGCGTGGCTGAACACGCCCAATCATTCCGAATGGCCAGTTGTCGTAAGTTTTATGCATAATACTGGAAATCATTACGGTCGCAGTTACTATTAAATAAAGACTGCCATATGCGTGTACTGATTTTAAAAACTCCGAATCCACGTAGCTCTGTACCGAGACGAAACTTGAGTGTCTTTGAATTTGTTCTGTGAAGTGGTACTAGTGGTTTCCCTGAAGGTCATTTCATTGCCGATCTATTAATAACTGTATTCGGGTCCTTTTTGTGGAGTGTTGCCTAAGGATATTTAATTTACTCATTTTTGCAGATTTTATTATGCACAAGTTTGTCAATTTGACTTTGG